ATATAACATCTTTTGAAAGGCCTCTTGATGAAAATACCAAATAATCTGAAATACAGAAATATTTTCAAGTAATGTTTTCCTCTCCTTAGGTTTTAAAGTGTGTGTGTGTATAATATGGTATACATATATGTTATATATAACACCATAGCTTTCTGTAAAATTCGTTCCAGTCATACAAATGCGGTCACAATTAGGGACTACATAGGAGTGACTTAAACCTGCTACTTTTACGAGAGAAATGGCGTGCTGTCACCTGTCCTCCCTACCAGTCCTACCGAGAATGGAAACATCCTGGAAATTTCTAAGTACGCTGACTGCTGAACTGAGGTTTGGAGGCTAATGAGGCAGGTGGGACAGGGTGGAAGGCGCTGACTCACTCGGCACATCTAAGCGGGGCAAGGCTGGGCCAGGCGAGACACAAACAGCGAACATAAGCGAAGTATGACTCTGTAATTAAGGGTGCGTGTGTAAGGGACAGACCCGTCTACCCTATGCACCAACAGGACTACGTAGGTCGGTTTTCCTTCTAGACGTGGCCTCACCGCGCCTCAACCCTCCTGCCTTAGCCTCCCAAGGAGCTGGGACACAGGTGCTTTACCTGGGCAGGCTTGAGGGAGTCGGCTCGAGGGACACCCGTGGTACTACATAACCAGCTCAACTACAGCCCGTCAGAGCTGAGACCAGGAAGGTCAGTCGGAGTGAACTCTGGCACAGGAGCCACGGATTAAAGAATAAAGAGAAACTGCCTTGTCAGGCTGTTGGGTGAGTCCCTGCAACGTTCTGGAGAGAAGGAACAGGTCAGGTTGGTCACCTGCTCCAACAGGGAGGCGGCTCAGCAGTTCAGAAAGTGTAACAGGATAATCTCGTTACAAAGTTGATTATTCACTAGGAATACAATGCAGAGAATGAGTCACTTAGCAACGATCCAGTATGGGCTTCCTTCTCAGAAAAATCTGGGGCAACATCTATTCTGTACAGGGTAGAGACACTATTTTAAAATCTAAACTAAAACAAAATAATTGTGAGGAAGAATTGTATGTCTGTTATATATCTCTTTCACCGCTCCTCACAATTACGTATGTTATACATATGTATATATAAAAGTGTTCCTCATGATTTTTCTTGTTTTAATTCAGACTGTAAAATAGTCTCTATATGTGTGTATAAATATATATATACACATGAAATAAATGCAGTTAACTATAACTCATCACACATTTACTAAATCAAAGACGAACTAATAAATCATTATATTAAAAAACATTTCCTTTCCTAATTAAAATTTTAGTTAAGAAAAATAAAAGGTTTCTCTTCTGCTAATTTATTCTTTATTTGAATATTGAAATAAAAATCTCTCATATAAATATTCATTTTTCACCACCCCTGAAGAAATAGAAATTTATTTTAGTATGCAGATTAGAATATATCTAGTCTCGGTCTTCAAGTTTTCTACTTCTTAAAAGCTTATCAAATTCCAATTACACTCTAATGTCACAAATTAATTTTTCTTTCTTATCCTCTAGATAAGAACAAACAGATTTTCTCCATTGGACAAGCCATCAGCAGCAGAGAATCCAATAATCCAAAATTGTTATTTTCTAATATTTTTCCAGCATTCTTTTCTTTTTGATTAAAAGGGCAAGACAACCAAGAGGAAAATCAGAAAACATTCCTTTTATCTGTTACTCTACCTTAATTATATTCATGTTACATATCATCTAAGAAACCACACTTTAAAACTATTTATAACATTTTTCAGGCTTCTATACTATATTCAAACTTACGATTTTTTAATTGCCTCATAATTTATAAAATAATTCTCCCAAAGCTTGGATATTTGATTATTGTTCTCATATATATTGCTAAAATAAATACTTTTGTATCTATGTAACAACGGTGTTAGGATAACCCTTACGGAGTAGCAATGCCAGGTACAAGAGCACTATATGGCCTCTTGCTCTGAACTGCAAAGTGGTTTTCCAAAAAGGCTGAGCTCATTCAGAGCTGCCTAAAACCAACCATTTTTACCGCTTGGTAGAAATAACTGCTAATTTTAATGGCAGTGGATATCGTTATTCAGGAAAACAACTGTTTTTTTGTTTGTTTGTTTGTTTGTTTGACAGGTTTTTGCTATAGGGCGCGTGTGCTTGCCAGACAGAAAGAGACAGAGAAATAGAAAGCGAGAAATCACCCCCCAGGGGGGATGGCCACACCGCAATCCCCTGTCCTCCATTCTCCTCTCGGGATCTTGGGCACGCACGCACACGCGCCCGGTGTGACTTTAAGCCACCGGGTCCAGGACTCAAACTGCAGTCGACTACGTGGGAGTCCAGCGACATAGCCATTACGCTAACTGCTGGTTCCAACTCTGCTGTTTTAATCATGTTTACCAATGTAAAAGTGGCATGCCCAAGTTGCTTAAAGATATATTTCCATGATTAATAATGGATACACTGTCTTCTGCATTTCATCTACAACCTACCCCTACACTGAGACAGCAGTGCTTGGTCACACCCGAAACATCATTATTTCTCAGTCTCTGGTTCCTCTCCTCCACATTTGCTAGTTTTCATTGTAAGAAAAGAATGGGCCTAGCTAAGCGACACAGCAGTAAAGGAAGCCCATCCCACATGGCTGATCGCAGTTCAAATCTCAGCCTCTGGCTTGAAAAGTAAGCCAGGCGTGTGTACGTATGTGCCCAGATCCCGGCGGGACAGGCTCATGGAGGGAAGGAGCTTGTGGCATCATATCCCACTGGGGGGGTTTCCTGCCCACCAATCCCTCTGCGATGAGTGCATGAACCCTTTGGCAATTAAAAACAAAATAGAAAAGTATATTTTGAAGTCACCTCTTTATGATTTTTGTTTAAATCTGAGAATGCAATTATTTCTCTGCTACTTCAAAACAAAATTCCTATCAGCAATTCTAGGTTTAAAACAATTCACTCATAAGTTTGGAGTTTATTTTCTGCATCATAATCTGAGAATAAGTTTATTCCTACTTATCTCCATATGTAGTCTTATAAATAGCTCTTCTTCCCGATCTTCGAGCCACTCTCTGTCATGACAGATTCTTACCTAGAGCAGCAACTACCCTGAACAGCCTAAGCGGCCTCATCCTCTCCCAGAACTCCGCCTTCTGGTTCTGCCTGTTGTTTTGCTATGGGCCAGAGCTACGCGCCTCTCACCCTGTCACCCACTCCTCATCCACGATGCTCTCTGACACTCTCCCTGGCTCATTTTTCCACTTTGATTGGTTGCAAAAATAATCCTCAGAGTATTTGTCTTTGCTTTTTAGGTAACTGCTGATACTAGTTTGTGAGTGATGTCTGTTCGGGATAATATTCCACTTATTTTCTCAAGAAATGTGCAGCCTGCATTCAGTTCACGCCGCCATCTTTCGCAGTGAGTGAGGCTCATTTGGCCTCGCCGACACACGGCCTTCGCCGCCAGCTTTCTCTCGTTCTCAGAAGCACAGAGGGTCTTCCCCATCAACATGTAGCATTCCCGATCACCCCAATCACCCCCTTCCGGAGCTTCTCAAGGGCACGCACATCTCTAAAGACGAGGACAAAGCGGTATTTAAATATCAAGCAAAATGTCCTTCTCACCTTCCTTCCTATTTATCTCCCCCTTCATGCATTCACCCAACCACTGCACAGATTCAGAATTTAGAGAGAAAAATAGACCGTTCTAAGTCTAAAAGTTAGGAGACCAGTTTTGGTGTTTGACAATCTCAAAACTGTAACTGCTTTTTTCTGCAAGAAAAACCAAGTAAATGTTTTGGGATAAACCGAGTAGGAAAACTGGCTGAAGAAGCTACCTGAACGGAGAATAAAATACCGTAAAATAACAACACTGCTGTACCCCTGAATGTCCTGCTCGTCCCAACAGATCCGACAGCCCCGAGCACCGGTCTCCCCTGCTCCGCCCAGACCTGAGAGGAGCCTGTGGGAAGCTGGCGACCTCCCGGGGAGCTGACGTGGGACACACTATCGCCTGCTCTCTACTGCAACGTTGTCACTGTTGTAGAAATCAATACGGAGAGGGCGGAAGTGGAAACCGAGCGCTCATGTATCTCACTCTCACCTTCAAAGCCGGAGTTGAGAAGGTGCTCCCCCAAGTCACAGCCGAACACCCTCTCTTTCAAGATGCCCCGCTGCTTGAGCTTCTGCTTTGTTGGACGAGACTTCATGAATGTCCGTAAGAAAGTAATGAGCTTGCCGTGCTTTTTGGACACTGGAAAATAAGGAGGGAATATCTCAGTTGTGGCAAGAGGCTGCATTTCACTCGGTGTGAGGAAACAGACACCTCAGCAGGCTGCTGTAAGAGAATGTGCCACTGTACGCGTCGGTCTCGGGGAAACTTCCAGCAAATTTAGCTAACAGTTACGCTGTAAAAGTTACTTCATAATTGACCTCATAATTTCACCTTCCTCCCCTTGGCCCACGCTTTTACTGGATGGGACCACGAGAAACTTCAAGCGTCGTAAGCCACGACCTTCAAATCAAACTCGGATACCAGCCGTCTTCCTAACTTAAGGAAGACACACCTCACTTTTACCCTAAGGTACCGCTTCGGGGACCCTGCATCCCAAGGGAGATTTAACATGCTCACACCTGGCTTCACTTCTAGTTGATTTTTAAAATAGTTTACTTCATGGTTTGAAATTTATATAGCACGTGGGAAAACAAAACAAAACAAAACCCTCCCTCTTTCTCATTTTATAGAGAAGACAATCCTGTAACGATAGAGAACACACCTGCCAACCTAATGCTTAAATACAAAACACAGAAAGCGTCAGGCCTGCTGTCACCATCCATGGACAGTAGGCCAAATACATCTCGCCTTGGATCTCTGGTAGAACAAGGCAAGAAATAAGAGAATGAATATTAGGGGAAAATATTTCCACCAATTGGCATATTAGAAAGACCACAGAATGAAAGAATTAAAAGCAAACAAACCCTTGGGAAAATGACTTTCTCTGAGAAGTGCAACCTCCAGGGAAGATTACTCGAAACATCGACATCCGTCAGCCCAAGCTGGGAGATTAGCTGCGGGCAGAAGCCTAAGCCGTGTGGCCTCAATCCCCAGGCTGGCTTGCAAACGATTTACTGCGAGGCTTCCGAGGCCTTGAGTCCTTCGGTGGATGGCAGGGGAGCCCCGATCTCACTTCTGAACAGATGAGGACTGCTGAGGGCACTCTGCGGCCTTGCCCCCCACTAGACAGTTACTCCAGGCCAGATCGGACACCTGCCCTCCGTTTCTTTCTGACCGATGGGAAACCTCGTTTGCAGACATACACACGTTTTGCACAGACTGCGTGAGCGTGATCAACCATCCTGATTTGCTGAGAGGATTCTTGGGCAGAGGGACTTTCTGGGCAACAATCAGAAACAAAGGGGCCACTGGGACTGCAGGAGACCATGTGGGAAGTTTCTCTTCTTCCATATCGATTGTTTAAAATTAACTTAGAACTGTCAGAATAATCTTGTCACTTTCCCTGACATGCTCTGGGGCTCTGGGCGAAATCACAGTCTTTCTCATAGCTGAGATCCCGTGTCATAAATTTAAATGACATCCTCCCTAGCTTCTAACAGGAAATTCACAGAGCATCGGTCGACCTCAGAGGGCTGTCACATGTAACAGTCTGCATTAAAGCTGCAGGCCGGCAGGAGGGTTACTCCCTGAAGCTGCAGGCAGACTGCATTATGAGTCTTTGTTAAAGTGAGACCACCGGGCTGTTTGTTCCCGAAGTTTCTACATAAACTTTACAATTACTTTGACAAGATTCTTAAAAAATACAAATAAGTATGGTCTGCAATAGTTTAACATTATGCAATTACACAGTGATTTGGAAGAATTTTAATTTCTACAATATTCACTATGAGGGAACTTCACACAGTTCATGGAAAATTGGAACTGCAGTAGAAAATGCCTATTTGCAAAACCTATGTATGGATTTCAAAACTTTTGCACCATAATAAACTCCTCCATCAGAGCCTTTCCAGACTTTCTGAAGTCCCCTCCTAGGGGAAGTGACTTGGGAGGGAGGGCAGCTTCCCTGCCAGTCCTGTCTAAGTTGGTGGTCAGGAGAGCATGGGCAGAGGCCACATGGAGGCCGTCCTGGAGAGCTGGGCCTCTGCACAGCAGAGGCAGCGAGGACGGCCCTCAGCTGGAACACCTCTAACACCCAGGATGTGCAGCGGAAATCGGAGGTGCAGTTGTAAGCAGTGACTAACTAGTGCTCCCTCCACGCGGGTGAAAGACTAGCTCACTCTCCAGGGCACGTTTGTCACTCTGCACAGGCAAAAGCCAAGGTGGGGGACAGGGTCTTTGGCGTGAGGAGTGATTGGAATCCATACACCGCATGCACGCACGTACGTAAGGCATATTTCTGAAAAAGAAACGCTGGAAGGGAAAGTAAGAAACTAGTAAAGATGGGTAAAAAGAAGTGGGTGCGGCAACCAGCAGTCAGCATAATGGCTGTGTCGCTGACCCCCATGTAAGTGACAGCAGTGTGCGTCCCCGACCTGGTGGCTTAAACTCACGTGGGGTGCGTAAGCGTGCGTGCCCAAGATCCTGAGAGAAGAATGGAGGAGAAGGGAGTGTGGCGTGGCCATCTCCCCTGGGAGGTGAGGTGATTTCTCGCTTTCTGTCTCTCTGTCTCTTTTTGGCAAGCGCACACACCCTATAGCAAAAACAAAACAAAAAACAAAACTCTCAAAAGAACTGGGTAGAGAAAAGGAGGGTGGGGCAAGAAGTGACACTTTTTTGAGTATACCGTTTCACATAGCTTGACTTCTAAGACTTCTAAATTATGTTTTCTTCCTACACATTCAAAAGTAAATTTAAAATGTTAAGAAAAACTACATGCTTACTGGGATATATCCTAAAGATAAAAAAAATCAGTAATATTTCATTTCACATTTTTGCCATTAGAATACTAACATTCATAGTGTAATTCTGAAACAATTTTATACCTTTTGTGGAACAAAACAAATATCGTTAGAAACCAAGATTTCAAGTGAGAGGAATTGTGATATGATAATAAACTCGCAGAAGTGAACAAAACCTGCAACGTTAGCTTTGAGTTGGGACGTCACCATGAGCCCGCAATGACAAGTCAGGCACTTCTGAGCACTACCCACTGAGGGGCTCCCCCATGGTGACATCCCTGACACACTGAGTCCTCTGGTTTCGGAGCTAGGCTCCTATCGATAAACCTCTGTCAGAAAGCAAGAGGAGAAGGAGCCGCCAGGGCTCGGTCAGACGAACGCCCACCGGCCGGATGCGGCCATCCTAACCCCCTAAAGCCTGAGCACGACTGACGATGAACAGCAGGCAAAGAAAACCCATGAGTCCGTAGGAAACCTCGCAGGAGAAAGGAAGGCAGCGGCAGCTGTCAGCACAGATGGAGGGCCTTTTCAAACACTGCGGCAGTGGCCGGCCGGGCTGAGCTGCGGTGTCGACAGCACACAGAGGGAATATAGTCATCTCTCACATGGGTTAGCAACCGACGCCTGAAGTTAGGGATCCTCCTACAGCTGAGTGGGCAGTAGCACCCAGCAGCCACGGCCCACACAGCTGGGCTCTCCAGGACGCGCGGCTCGACTCCTCCTCTGGGTTCGCAGGTTTGGCTGCAGAGCAAGGACTCCTGGCTACCTTTTCCTGGGTAGGAGAAGGGTGAGGACTGCTCCTGTTCCTTTTTCTTACTAGTGACACGAGGTGCAAATAATCAAAGAGCTGCCAGGAAGCACAGATTGGAGATGGCGGGCGCGGCACCCGTTTGGCACTCAGGGCTCCAGGAGGGTGTGTCCCTCCTGGTGCAGCCGACCACTCCTCTGCATGGCCTCCTTGTTCTTTTGCTTTCCCATGAAACACTGCTAAATAAACGGCACTCCTCTCTGCCCTTGGAGTGTGCGCGGTGGGGCAGAGCGGTACAGTAGCGTGGTCCTTCTCATCCTGAGATGCCAAAGCAGATATCCGCAACTGTGACTGGCCAGCCAGGCGCCAGTGATTGCCAGGCCTTAGTAAGAAACTAGTAAAGATGGGTAAAAAGAAGTGGGTGCGGCAACCAGCAGTCAGCATAATGGCTGTGTCGCTGACCCCCATGTAAGTGACAGCAGTGTGCGTCCCCGACCTGGTGGCTTAAACTCACGTGGGGTGCGTAAGCGTGCGTGCCCAAGATCCTGAGAGAAGAATGGAGGAGAAGGGAGTGTGGCGTGGCCATCTCCCCTGGGAGGTGAGGTGATTTCTCGCTTTCTGTCTCTCTGTCTCTTTTTGGCAAGCGCACACACCCTATAGCAAAAACAAAAAAAAAACAAAACTCTCAAAAGAACTGGGTAGAGAAAAGGAGGGTGGGGCAAGAAGTGACACTTTTTTGAGTATACCGTTTCACATAGCTTGACTTCTAAGACTTCTAAATTATGTTTTCTTCCTACACATTCAAAAGTAAATTTAAAATGTTAAGAAAAACTACATGCTTACTGGGATATATCCTAAAGATAAAAAAAATCAGTAATATTTCATTTCACATTTTTGCCATTAGAATACTAACATTCATAGTGTAATTCTGAAACAATTTTATACCTTTTGTGGAACAAAACAAATATCGTTAGAAACCAAGATTTCAAGTGAGAGGAATTGTGATATGATAATAAACTCGCAGAAGTGAACAAAACCTGCAACGTTAGCTTTGAGTTGGGACGTCACCATGAGCCCGCAATGACAAGTCAGGCACTTCTGAGCACTACCCACTGAGGGGCTCCCCCATGGTGACATCCCTGACACACTGAGTCCTCTGGTTTCGGAGCTAGGCTCCTATCGATAAACCTCTGTCAGAAAGCAAGAGGAGAAGGAGCCGCCAGGGCTCGGTCAGACGAACGCCCACCGGCCGGATGCGGCCATCCTAACCCCCTAAAGCCTGAGCACGACTGACGATGAACAGCAGGCAAAGAAAACCCATGAGTCCGTAGGAAACCTCGCAGGAGAAAGGAAGGCAGCGGCAGCTGTCAGCACAGATGGAGGGCCTTTTCAAACACTGCGGCAGTGGCCGGCCGGGCTGAGCTGCGGTGTCGACAGCACACAGAGGGAATATAGTCATCTCTCACATGGGTTAGCAACCGACGCCTGAAGTTAGGGATCCTCCTACAGCTGAGTGGGCAGTAGCACCCAGCAGCCACGGCCCACACAGCTGGGCTCTCCAGGACGCGCGGCTCGACTCCTCCTCTGGGTTC